GGAGATCGGTCCTAGCATATTCAACAGGGGCTGCTCTTCTGTTTTAAGGTTTTAAACCTTAGTAAAGCTTAAGCCCAAAGTTTTTTTTGTTTGTTTGTTTCATTTTGTTTTCTGTTTTTGTGGAGCCAGGGCTTGAACTCAGGCCCTTGTACTTGCCAGGGAAGCACTTATTCAACTGAGCTGTCTCCCCAGCCCCTCCTTCTCCATCTTTTGGTCCAGCTCCCATTTGCAAAAAATCAATCTCCCTCTTTCTTATTATCTATTTTTTTAATTATTTATACTTTGGATTTCTCAGATAAGAGAAGTTATACAATATTTAAACTTGTGTGTCTGATTTCTTTCATTTAACATTATGGTCTCAAGGTACATCCAAGACTGGGCATGGTGGCGTGCACCTGTAATCTCTATAAGCTCTTGGGGGGCTGTAAGCAGGCAGATCACTACGAGTCAGATCTAGTAGTGAGACCCTGAGCACCCTCTTGACCCTTCCCTAAAAAATACCCCCCCCAAAAAAGTACATCCATTTCCCTGTAAAGGACTCAAATCTATCCTTCTTTATAGCACAGTGGTACCCCATTATGAATAGATCCTTGCCTTTCTTTACCTATTCATCCACTGATGGACATATGGCCCATTTCCAAGCATTAGCTATTACAAGCTGTGCTGCTAAATACCTTGGTCATGGGCCGGGGATATAGCTCAGCAGTTTCAGTGCCTGCCTCGCAAACCCAAGGTCCTGAGTTTGATTCCCAGTACCGCATAAAAAAATTAAAATTAAAAACTTGGTTATGCATGATCCCTGTAACATGAAGGCTTCAACTCTCTTGTGAGAATATTTAGAAGGGAAACAATTGGGTCAAGTAAAATTTGTAGTTTTAATTTTTTAGGATGCTTTACACTGATCTTCACTGTGATTTCACTAGTCTGCCTTCCCACCAGCCAGGGTTCCTCTTCCCGCCAGTAGGTTTCTGTGCTCTGTGTGAGATTACTGTGACCAGGCAGGACTCTGTGCATGGACACACCCAGGTATGTGCCGCTGTGTCCCATGCAGGTTGGTATTCCCGCAAAAGGCCAAGTTTTCTTGAAGGGCGTAGTTGGGTCTATTCGTGTGTTGGTATGTGTCTGTTTAGTAGGTTTTGGGCGTTTTTTTTTCATAATTTTATTGATAAACAAATAGCAATGAGACAGTTTCAAATCAAATAGCTAGGACAGTTTCAGTAACTAACACACTGCATACATTCTTCTCAGTGGTTAATTGCTGTACAAGATGCGGACTTGAGATCCTATTTACAAACACCATTAGAACAAATGTTTAGTAGGCTTTTACACATTTCTTTGTGGCTATGTCTCCCCATATGTATTTGTATGTGGAGGACCCTGGCTCAATGAGAAAAAGATAGAGTTTTGGGTTTTGGTTTTAATGTTATCTTCCTGAGGTAGGATTTCACTATGTATTTCAGCTTGACCTTGAACTTACTATGTGGTCAGGCTGGGCTTGAACTAGCGGCCATCTTCCTGCTTCAGCCTCCCAAGTGCTGAGATTACAGGCATGTACCACCATGCCCAGCAAGAATGGACTTTGAGCTGCCCTCACCGCCCACAGTTTGCCTTGTGACCCAGGAAAACTGCTTCCCTGGCAAAGCCTCCATGGTCCTCATCAAAGTGCTACCCTGACTGCATTGGGTTGTCGCGTGAAAATTGGGAGGATTCACTCTGCCTGCGTCCCAGGAATTCTCCCCAGTAGCTCCTGGTGTTGTTATTCATTCAGCAAACCTAACAGTTTCCTGTGTGCCAGTGGCTGGGGGCAGGAGGCCACGCGGGCACTGTGCATAGAGGTACTTAGCTTAAATCCACACGGCATGGCGACCCAGGCAGCGCGCCCTCAGATGAGGTACCCAGCCAAGACCGCTATCTGGGTGTGTGTCCTCGAGAGCAGAGCTGCTGTGTGTGTTTAGGCAGACGCGGGGTCTGGGTTTGATCCCTGGCTTGCCATGCTGGCCCCTCCCGCGGGGCGCACTGAGACGGCAATTGCGACTGGGCGTGTTGGCGCACGCCTGTAATCCCAGCACTTGGAAGGCTGAAAACAGGAGGATCACTATGAGTCCGATCTGTGTAGTGAGACCTTGTGCTAAATACATTAAAAAAAATTTTTTTTTTGAAAAGCTGCTGAATGTGGTAGCACAGCCTGTAATTTCAGAATTCTGGGAGGCAGAGGCAGGAAGATTTTAAATTACAGCCCAGCCTGTGTACCTTAGTGACAGTAAGCAAAGCTCTGCCTCCAAGTAAACATTAAAAGGGGGAGGCTGAGAATGAAGGCCCAGGGGTAGAATCACCCCTCCGGGGGCAGGGACAGGCACAGTGGCCCAAGCCTGTAATCCTAGCACTCAGAAGCAGAGGCAAACTCAGTGGGAGCAGTTCGAGGCCAGCCTGGGCTACAAAGTGAGGGCCTGTCTCAAAAAGCACAAAGGCACCGAAAGACAGAGAGACACTAGCATAGGGCTGTGACAATGGTCTCCCACACCTGCCTGCCACCTCCTCAGGCAGGAGGTGTCACAAACCTGAGACTGCCACTTGCCCTGGGCTTGCCCCTTTCCTGCCTGCCTGGTTTCCGGCCTCCTAGGCTCCCTACCTCTTACCCCGCACATTCACGCCACCAGCTGCCACGCCTCACCAGGGCTGCTGCTCAGTCTGTGGCCTCTTACGGTCCCTGCCGCCGCAGAGAAGCTGTCTTGCATCCGACCGCAGTGGTCTTCCATTGGCAGCGCCCACACCTATGTCAGAGGTTGTTTTCCTCTCTCCACCTCCCTGCACCCCCAGTGGGCCCTTGCCCCACTCCCCACTGCCCCTCTGGTCCGTTGTGCCCCTCCCTGGGAGATGCTCATGCCCACCTCCAAGACCCAGCCCCCAAACCTCTCCTCACAGCCTCCATCAGACCCTAGCTTGGATCCCCAAGGCTCTCCTAGCCAGAGGACAGCCCTTTCTCCATGCCTGATTTCCGTGTCTGCAGGATGGGGATAAGCAGTGTCTTGGGAGGCCATGGTGAGGATGCAGTGAGGGAGTGGATCCCAGCGTTTGGAAGGCTGAAAACAGGAGAATCACTATGAGTGCGATCTATGTAATGAGACCCTGTAGACCCTGTACTAAATACATTAAAAAAAAATAAAGCACTGCCCCAAACACATAGGGTCAGGGTGCAAGGACCAGGGTGTGGACGGAAGACACCCACCCTGGGCTGGAGTGGCCAGAGCTTTGCAGTAGGGAAGAAGGAGGGAGGACAAGCACTTTCCGGGCAGTCACCTCGCCTCTGCTTGGCCCGGCCCTGCCCCCAGCCTGGGCCTGGCCCTACAGCTGACCTCACAGATAGGATGGCAGGAAAGAGCAGCCAGTGACCAGACCTGGTGGGCAGCCATGCTGTAAGGCTAATAGAATTAACTGGGTCTGTGCACATGGCAGCTGGTCACCCAGGGACCTGCCCTGGTCCTTGTGGCTTCTGGCTTCTCCCTCCTCCCTGCTTCCCCTCTTCCAGGCAGACCTCTCCTCCTGCTTCCTTCTGCCCCGCTGCCCTTGCTCCCCCACACCAATCCCAGCCAGCTGCCCTCATTTCCCCCTGCAGCTGTCCAGACCCGAAAGATGGAAGAAAGAGGAAGGGTTCGCCCTGTGCAGCTCCAAGATTCCAGGCTCCAAGAGTCTCTACCCAAAAGTCCCTAGGCTCCTGAGGTGTCCAGCACAGAGTCCCTGCCAGACAGAGAGATAAGACTCAGGAATCTCAGCCATACAAGCCAGCAGACCCCGAAAGAGGTGCTAGGGTCCTAGATTCCCCTGCATGTCAGGTTCTAGCTGCAGTGGTGCTGGGTCGGGGATGTTGGAGAAACCTCTGGGCTCCATCCCTCCCCAGCATCTTCCCCCTCCCCTGTGCCAGCTTTTCCTTGGCTCTCTCCCTGTCCCCTGGCTCCCCAGGGGCTCCCACAGACATGATGCAACCAGGCAAAGGAGCCAGCAGAGAGGTGGGAGGCAGGAGGGAGAGGTAATTACAGTTGCTCCTGCCCCAGTCCTACGGCAGCTCAGAGTGGGAGCCCAAGGGACGTTAATCCGATCCAAATAATGGAGCATTTGCCAGATTCACGGAAGGCGCACAGGGAAGAGAGCCCAGCGAGCCACCTCCAGTCGTACCCAGGAGTCCAGCTTCCATCAGCCCCAAATCGATGAGGAAGGAGAAGGGTGAGGAGAGGAAGGGGGTGCAAACCCAGAGGCCCTCAGGCCAGCAGATACAGTGGTTAAATCAAACTCACAGCCCACTGGTCTTAGTTTTCCCATTTCTTTCTTCTTTCTTTCTTTCTTTCTTTCTTTCTTTCTTTCTTTCTTTCTTCTTTCTTTCTTTCTTCCCTTTTTCTTTCTTTTTTAAAGATAGGGTCTCTAGGGCTGGCCAAATAGCTCCGTGGATTAAAGCACCTACAAGCAGGTGAAGGGGCAGGGTGGGGGGTCAATCCCTGGGCCTGTCATGCCAGCCCCACCCCAGGGGTGCACTGAGACAGCTATTGAGACGGGGCTCTTGAGACTGGGCGTAGTGGCATGCACCTGGAATCCCAGCTCTTGGGAGGCTGTAAACAGGCCGATCACTACGAGTCTAATCTAGTAGTGAGACCCTGAACACCCTGTAGACCCTTCCCTGAAATACAAAAAATACAAAAAATAAGATAGAGTCTTTATACACAATTCAGACTGAACTTAAACTCATTTTATAGTCCAAGCTGGCCTTGAACTCACACTGATCTTCCTGCCTCAGTCTCCCGAGCACTGGGATCACAGGCACACCACCACCCCAGGCCTCCTCTCTTCTTGAATAGGGATTCAGTGGGATGTTACGGGGACTTCAGCAGACTGGGAAGCCAGGGTCAGTCTCCTAGCCTATAGTCACCCTGGGGTCAGTGGATGGTACAATTCAAGAGAAGGCGGCAGCGTGGTTTTTATTGAAAATATCTCTATTTTCCAAATTGGGAACCAAATCAAGAATGTCTTTAAACATCATATAGGCTAAAAGTAGAAAGCCAAAAATACAGCGGCTGTTGCCAACCACCCATGTGTGTTCCAGGAAGCACAGAGCAGGGTCCAGGATGATCATAAGTCACTTCCTCTGTGCTCAAAATTAAAAAAAAAAGAAAAAAAAAGAAAAAAGAAAAGTTTTCACTTGTTTTTTGTTTTAGCACTGGGGATTGAACCTAGGGCCTTCCTGCTAAGCAACACCCCCCAGCCCTTTTTTTTTTTTTAATTTATTTATTTATTTATTCATTCATTCATTTTGTGTGTGTGGCCAGCTCAGCCCACCAGGGGGCGGGGCTGGCTGGCATGTGGTGCTGGGGATTGAACCGCGGTCCCTGTGTTTTGCTTAGCTTAGCTTGTTCTAAGGAGGTGCTTTAGACCACTGAGCCATCTCACCAGCCCCCCCCCAGCCCTTTTTAAAAAAATCTTTTGAGACAGAGTCTTGTTAAATTGCCTAGGCTTACCTCTAGCTAAGCTCTCTGTTGCAGGTCCCCAGTCTTATTACCACCCTGTCCCAGCCCTGACGTCTCCCCCTCCAGGAAGCCCTCCCTATTCTCCAAGCTGGGTCAGGCTCTCCAACATCTCTATCTTGGGACAGATCTGCCGCACTGACTGGATTCTGAGCCCCAGAAGGGCAGAACCAGGGCAATGTGGGTCTCAGCCATGTGACCAGCACAGCATTGGTCACAGAGCAGGTACTCTGAGGGCTGCAGCCAGAGGAGGGGGCTGGAATCCTTCAGGGGTAAGCAAGCCAGCCAGAGGTCCAGGGTCCAAGGTCTAGGGCCCCATGATCTCTGAGCTCTGAGACTTTTTTTTTTTGTGGAACGGGGTATTGAACTTAGGCCCTTGCACTTGCCAGGGAAGCGCTTATTCCACTGAGTCATCTCCCCGGCCCCTCTTTTTTTTTTTTTTTTTTTAAACCGGTGATTGAACTCAGGCCCTTGCGCTTGCCAGGGAAGCGACTGAGCCATCTCCCCAGTCCCTCTGAGACTTTTGAGACTCAATGTCCTAATCTGTAAAATGAGTATCATGCAGCTGTTTTCTGGGGCCATTGGGACAATTTTTAAGTAAGCTCAGGATAGGATAGTGGGGCCCTCAAGGAAGGACAGTTTCTTCCAGGCTTCGATAGAGGAGTGCACCCTCCGTATCCAAAGGGCCCACCTTCCGTTCCACACACAATCGGAAGCAAGAAAGAGTACAAATCCCCTTCAGGTAGTCGAAACTCAGCATGTGCCTCAGTTTCCCTAAAAGCACAGGCACCACCACAGTCATCAAATTTATTGGACTCGTACTTGGCAGGGCAGGGTAAGCTTTCGGGAGGGCTCACAGGAGGACGCAGAAGAGGCGCTTGTCGCGGAAGGGATTCTCGGCGGCAGGTACCGGCGTCACCAGCGGGTCGTCTTTAGCGTGCGTCTCGCAGAAAGCCAGGAGCTCGGCCGCGGCCTGCGACACCTGCAGGCGCGCAGGTGGATGTGTAGAAGCCGGGACCGCGCAGCCCTGCCCTCTAAGCTGCGCGAGCCCCGCCCTGTATGGCCCCGCCCGCCTCTCTTCGTACAGCCCCGCCCCTGACCTGGCTCCGCCCCTGACCCGCCCACCTACGGGGACGCCCCCAAAGCGGGCCTGCGTAGACCCCCCACTCCTACCCTCGCGGCCCCAGCACCTTCATGCGATCGATGTTCACTTCCAGCTTCAGCTGTTCCACCGTCTTTCGGGCTTCGGCGATCTTGGCCATGTTGTTGGACATGGCTGCAGCAGGCTAGAGGTTAAATACCAGGCAAGAGTGGAGGGGATGCCTGCAGGCCGGGACACATCTGTATCCCGAGGTGGGACCCAGTCACAGGGGCATGGGTGAAAGGGTGCGCGAATGGGGTCCAGAAAGGAGTACAGGAAAGAATGGAGACCTCTCGTGGGGACCAGAGAATGAAGGAGTGCTCGAATGGGTAGAGAGGCAAGTGGGGGAGGAACAGAGAGGGCCAAGGGAGAAAGGAGAGACGCATAGAGGCTGGTAGAGGAGGCCCAGAAGGACAGGGCCACCAGGTGCTGGATCAAGATGTAGGGATCCAGGTGTCCTCACCCCCTGGGGATGGAGCAGGAGCCAGGAAGGGGGGCCCTCCCCAGGCCAATTAGCGGTGGCTCCAGGGAGAACTGAGAATTAAGATCGCGGCGGGAGGGGAGCAGAGGGGGCCTCATTATGGCCTTGGCAGCAGCTGCCCCCTCTGCCACCCTCGGGGAGCCCTCCCATCCCACCCCTGACCACCTCAAAGGATGCTCTGCTCATTAGCAGCCAGGAGAGAGGGCTGGGGGAGCCCAAGCCAGCCAGACAGGAGAGGGGCAGGGAGGATGGAGAGACAGCAGGGGCAGGATAGACAGGCATGGGCAGACAACTGAGGATATGGAGCGAGAGATGGCAGGATGGAGGGATGAAGGAACAAAATAAAGAGAGGAACTGATAGAGGGGTAGAAAAAAAAGGCAGAGTAACAGGGGAGAAAGGCAAAGAGGGGACAGGGATAAAAAGGAGGGAGACAGAAGTGGCCAGAGAGAAACAGAGGGGCCGGGGAGAGATGGATGGAGAGTGGAGCTGGTGGAGGCAGATGAAGGCACAGAGGGAGAGCCAGGCTGGTGGAGACACCATAATGCAGTCAGCCATTCACTCATTCATTCATCCATTCCCAGGCAGACAGTGGCCCCAGAACAGGCTGTCCCGACCAGGACCAGAGCCTCCTACCTGTTGCTGCCCACGGCTGGGATGACTGCAGCCAGAGAGAGGCTCAGAGCAGCTGCCTGGCTGGGTCCCCTCCCCAGCCCGCCCCGCCCCCTCTCCTGGGGCGCAGCCCCTCAGGACCCGCCTCCTCTCGCAGCTGCCACCCTTGCCAGCCCTGGGTCTCTCTGGGTCCTCTCTATGTCTCTCTGTCCCTCTTTGTTTCTCTCCTGTGTTGTTGTTGCTGTTTTCTTGGGGTATCTCTCATACTCACAGGAAGATGGTCCCGCTAAGCCGGGTGTGGTGGTACATGCCTGTAATCCCACCACCCAGGAGGCTGAGGCAGCAGAATTGTTTTGAGTTCAAGACCAGCCTGGGCTACAAAATGAGCTCAAGCCCAGCCCGAACTGCACAGTGAGACCCTGTTTCAAAAATACAAGAAAAGAAAGGAAGGAAGGTAGGTCCTTCTAGGGGTGCCCTGAGCACAGTCCCACGTATTCCAGTCACATAAATCTGTCCCGTGGGTCCTGTACAGCCTCTACGTCCCCACACACATTCTCACCCTGTCAATGTGGTCACACTTGCCAGCTCAGTGCTACTCCATCAGCCATGGCCGGGTCAGCAGCACACACACTCATGCTCCAAGTGCCCTCCACAGGCAGGCACATCGGTCTTGACGTACACAGGAGTGTCTCACTTCACAGACAACCCGTGTCAACACAGCCCTACCAGTTCGCATCAGATGCCACACACAGTTACCATCTCTCACCGCATACTACGTCGTTTCCAGTGGTGGCTCCGCAACCACAGATATACCATCTCAGAGTGCCAAGTGTATGAATTAAGTTTTATCTCCATTGTGCAAATTTCTCAAAATGCCACACAGATAGATGTGCAATTTGGGGCCAGGGAGGTGGCTCAGTAGAATAAGCACTTGCCTGGCAAGCACAAGGGTCTGAGTTCAATCCCTGGTTCTGCCAAATAAATTAAAAAATAAATAAATAAGATGTGCAATTTAAACTCTTGCAGTCTTACATGCATCTCCGTGCCCCACACAGTGGCACGCCGCCTGTCCAGTGGTGGACATGGATAGCCACATACAGCGCGATGGTATACACAATTTTACACATCCCATCTCCCACAGGAGCACACACAGTGAGTGCCTCTCTCTCTCTCTCTCTCTCTCTCTCTCTCTCTCTCTCTCTCTCTCTCTCTCATACACACACACACACACACACACACACACACACACACACACACCCAGTGTCATCATTACACCATGGCTCGCTCAGGGTATCATAATATCATTCACAATCTCAGAGCTTCATACACACTGCTGAGCTTCAATCTGTGTCACACGTGGCTGTCACAACTCATTCCCTGTCTCACATATCCTCATGAAGCCACCTCCAGCACTGCACACACTCACTTCAGTGGCCCACCCCTGGCCATCACAAGCCTGAGCCAGTCTCTCGGCATCACCTACAAGCTCAGAGTCACACTTATTTTCTCACAGTCATTGGCGTGGCTGACAGTCTTACACTCACAGTCTGCCATGCCCAGGACACCTCCATGTTCACCCTGCCTGTCATGCCGTTGCTTGGTGGACCCAGCCATCAGCTCGTCCTACCCTGCAACACACATGGCGGCCCTCTAGTCCCCTGCCCCTCGGAACAGTATTGCATAAATATCTCACTCCAAATATGGTCTTTCAGTGTCACAGAGTCCCCAAAAGGCATCTTTTCCACAACAATCACACATGATGCCTCAGTGCCACACAGGGTTACCGGTAGTGTCGCTGTGTCACAGGCACTCCTAACCTCACAGTGTCACACACTGTCACCAACATGTAAATTATATATGCAATCCCATTCAATCCCTCCTCGCCACTCATAATCCCTCTGTGCCACACTGTCACATGCCCGCCGCCTCTGGTCGTCGCGCAGCACTTCCAGGTGTCTCTTTCAGGCCCATTGCAGCCTTCGGGCTTCGCCCGGCCTCCCTGCCGGCCACACGGCGGCGCCCGTGGCCCGCGCGGAGGCCATCGGGATGTTGAGACCCGAGGACAGGGCGCCCTCCGCGGGCCCTGCGGGAGATGGAAGCGGAGACTGGGGCCAGAGAAAGACGTGGGAGCGAGAGGGAAACCTCGAGAGGTGGAGGGGTCAGGGACCAGAAGCAGAAGATAGAAGATGGACAGAGAAAATCGGAGCTGAGAGTTGCGGGGAACGAGTGACTCAGGGACACTTAGAGACAGTCACTTAGAGAGTCAGAGTTGGGGAATCAGATGGAGAGGGACAGAGGACTACAGAGAGAAACAGGGACAGGAGAGACAGGACACACAGAGACACAGCACAGGAGAAAGGTCCAGAGACAGCTGCGGGCGGACCCAGCGCGTCCTCCACCCTAGCCCAGACCGCTGGGGCCGCAGGGGGCGTGGTTTATGGGCGGAGCCTCGACTGCCCTTTGGGCGTGGCCTTGCGGGGGCGTGTCCTGAGGGCGGGCTGCGGGTTTTTTCTCTAGGGGGCAGTCAACGCTTTGGGAAAGAGGTGGAGGTAGGAGAGGTGTGTCATTACTCCTCCAGCTCTACCCAACCCGGATTTTAATGACTGGAAGGGAAACAGTTTGGGCAGAAGGGGACACTGGCTTCTGGTAACCTTCGGATACTGGTTTGGGAACCGAGCTCCTTTTCCCCTCCTCCACGGGCTCAGCAGGGCCAGGTTGGGGAGGGGAGCCCGGCCCACATCTGGAAAGCATCAGGCGCGCCGGACGTGCCAGGGCCCCAGGCCCGGCTGCGGGGGTTGGGGGAGCGGGAGCCAAGGCGCTCCGCTCACCACCAAGCGGGGTCCGCCGGCGCCGAGGAGGGGCCTGGGCGTGTGCCGAGCCCGGCGCCTCCCGCAGCTGGTTTCCATCAGCAGATCTGGCCCGGCAGCCCCTCAGACGGAAACCCAGCTCAGAGCTGGGAAAGACAAGGTGACGACCCAATCATCCCTTCCTCCCTACCCAGGACAAAGGGTAGAGGCCGGGGAGGGTCACACCGGCTTCCGCCGCCTTTCCAGCCGAGACAACTTTCCTTCCCCGCCTGTGCTGCACTGGAATCGCTCCAGCCTCTTGACAACCTAGTGCTTGATCATATTATTGTCCCCCTTATTTGGAGGTGAAAACTGAGATTCTGGACTCAGATTCAAGGAATGATTAATAAAAGGGAGCATTGAATTCTGGGATCAAGGGCCCAAGCGCCTACTTAATGTCAGCTGAGTATCTTAAAGTGTCAAAAACTCAGCCCCTAATTCCATCTTTCATACCCTCCCTTACCTCAGTTTTAGCCAGTTCAATCGATGGTAAATTCGTGTGTGTGTGTGTGTGTGTGCGCGCACACACACACATGTGTACTCTGTACTCTTTGACTTCCTCTCTTCACTCTCCACAATCCTAATCTAGCAACAAATCCCAATGGGGTCATCTCAAAACTTCTCCAGAAACGCACTTCCTCCTTTGTCCCATCTTGATCCATCTGGGCTACTACAGGCTGTCACAGCCTCCTTGGAGTTCCTCCTGGATTCTACATCTCCCCTTCTCAGCCTGCTCTCCCAAAGCAGCCAGAAAGACGCTGTTTAAAACTAAGGCTTTATGTTGGATGTGATGGTGTATGCCTGTAATCCCAGATTCTGGAAGGCTGAGACAAGAAGATTGCTAGTTTGAGCCTACCATGAGCAATTTAGAAAGACTCTATCTCAAAAAAAGAAAAGAAAGAAGAAAGGAAGAAAGGAAAGAAGGAAGGAGGCAGGGGAGATAGCTCAGTGGTTTAAGCACAGAGACCAGGGTTTGATCCCTTTCACTGCATGCCAAGCCTGGCCCTCCCCCGGGCACAGCTAGCCAGCCACCCAAACCAGGCATGGTGATGCAGGCCTGTAATCTCAGCTCTTGAGAGGCTGAAAACACGAGGATCACTAGGAGTCTGAGCTGTGTAGTGAGACCCTGTATCCAAGAAATAAAATTTTTTTACAAGAGCAAGAAAAAAAGAAGGGCTGAGCCAGGCATGGTGGTGCATGTTGTAATCCCAGCACCTGCAAGGCTGAGACAGGAGGATCACCACGAGTTCAACCCTAGCCTAGGCCAGCCTGCATGACATAGTAAGACCCTGTCTCAACTGCCCCCAAAGTGGCAGTTCCTCAAAAAGGTATTTATTTATTGTGTGTGTGTGTGGCTAGCTCAGCCCACCAGGGGGCGCGGCTGGCTGGCATGTGGTGCTGGGGGATTGAAGCGCAGTCCCTGTGCTCTGCCAAGCCCGTTCCAAGTAGGTGCTTTAGACCACTGAGCCATCTCGCCAGCCCCTCTCAAAAAGGTAAACACAGCTAACATATGACAAAGTAATCTCATCCCTAGGTGTACACCCAAGAGAAATGAAAATATGCCCACACAGAAACACGGATGCCAACAACCAAGGCAGCTTTTTTCATGACAGCCTCAAAGTGGGAACAGCCCAGGCTCCATCAGCTGATGAAAGGGCAGAGTAAACGCAGGCCACATAGGCAAGCGCTAGCATTTCACAAGGGAAATAAAGCCAGTGCTGACACACGCCATCACACTGATGAACATGAAAATGTTATCTAAGTGAAGAAAGCCAGTCACAGAAGGCCACGTATTCTATGAATTGTTTATAGGAGATGTCTGTCCAGGATTGGCAAATCTACATGAGACAAAAATAGATTTGTGGTTGCCAGGGGCTGGGGAGGCCCGGAGATGACAGCTGAAGAATGGAGGCTTCTTTGGGATGATGGAAATATTCTAGGATTGACTGTGGTGATAGTTGCACAAATCTGTAAAAGTACTAAAACCCACTGAACTGTGTTATTTCACAAAGGTTTCTTTATGGTACATGAATGCAATGCAAAAGACCTGTTATCGGGGCTGGGGAGATGGCTCAGTAGAATAAGTGCTTGCCTGGCAAGCAAGC